GGCCCTGTTCTCAAGTCTTTAGAAATACTACTGAACTATTCTAACAAAGGCAAAAAGCCCCCCCCCCACCGAATGTCCAGCAGGGACCTTCCAGTTGCTGCTCTGATATGCACCCCCCTCCCCCGGAGCACCTTCTGAGAAGACAGTTTGTTAGGCATAGTTCTTGAGATAAAGTCTGCCTGGCTTCTGGAGCCCCTTCATCTTGGTCCTGTTCCCTTTTTACCTGTAGTCCTTTGTTCTTTCCAGGGCCTTCTGCTAGGGGGAGCCTGCTTGTGATGACAGTCGCCCTGCCTAGGGGCTGTGACGCCAGGTGGCCGCAGTGCCTCGCCTGGGTCCTTCTCAGTATCAGACCTGTCCTTGCCTAGACACCGACTACACGAGCCAGAAGTGCCGGTGGCTCCCACCCATTAAGCTGGGCAATGACTAAGGGTGACTGCTGACGCAGGTCAATGTGACTTACAACAGGAGGCCAGAGGGCATCCACCACTTCTCAGCCTTTATTCCAAAAGTTTTTTGGGGCATTGAGGGGTCCTTCTGTGCAGACAGGTGCAAAATCAGCTCCAAGGAACCTCAGCCCCAGCTTCATTCATTCCGTCCGCTGGTTGTCACTTGGGTGTCATCACTGAAACACCCAAGGTTGCCAGGTTACTCTGGCATCTGGGGGAAAACTGTGTCCCCCTCTCCAGGGGCTGGTGGAAATGAGTGGAGGGAGGGACAATGCTGGCTGCTCCTAGAGGGGTGGGGGGTGGGGTGCCTCACAGGCTTGTACAATGTGCTGACCCGTCAGTTCAGCTTGCAGATGACAACACTGACCTGACATGATGACTGACCTGACACAGCGACTCCAGGAGTGGAAGCAGGTGGCAATGCAGGCTTCCTTCCTCCTGTTTTACCTGCTTGTATTAGTTATCTACAGCTGTGTAACAAATCACCCCAAAAACTAGTGGCTTAGGGTGATCTATTAGTTTCTTAGGGTTGCTGTGACAAAGTACCACAAACTTGGTGGCTTAGAAAGACAGAAATATTTGTCCCACAGTTCTGGCAGCCAGAAGTCTGAGATCAAGGTGTTGGTGGGGGGAGTTCCTTTTGGGAGAGAAATCTGTACCATATCTTTCTCCTAACTTCTTACGGTTTGCTGGAAATCACCCCAATCTCTGCCTTCACCTTCACATGGCATTCTCCCTGTGTGTCTATGTCCAGAGTTCCCCTTCTTATAAGGATTCCAGTCATATTGGACTAGGGGCCCACCCTATGCCAGTGTGACCTCATCCTCGCTTAACTAATTACATCTGTAATGACCCTATTTCCCAGTCCACCTTCTGAGGCACTTGGGGTGAGGACTTCAGCATGTGAATTTTGGTGTCACACACTTCAACCCATAAACAACAATAAGAAATGTTATTTCATGAGTGGTCCTGTCTGTTTCTCTTCTGAGGTTTCAGTCAACATGTGCTCTGAGGCTGCAGTCATCCGAAGGCTTGTCTGGGGCAGAGAGATTTAAACCGTGGCGGCTCACTCACCTGCTGGTTGTTAAGAGGCCTCAGTTCCTTCCCACGTGGGCCTCTCCCAGGGCTCCCCGAGTGTCCTCATGACACAGCAGATGGCCTCTCCCAAAATGTGTGATCTGAGACAGAGCACACCAGCGCTCCTGGCAGAAGCTCTTCCCTTTTTATGACCTAGCTTTTATCTTCTCTTCATTAGAACCGAGTCACTCAAGCTGGCTCGCATTCAGAGGGAAGGGCTGCAGGCTTTACCTTGTGAAGGGATAAGTGTCAAAGAGTTTACAACCTACTGTTAGAGTACCATACAACTCATTCTGTGTGTTTTCCCTACCGCACCCCTTCTGCAGCCCCGGCTCTGGTCCCTGAGTTGTCCCACAGCATCCTGGACTTATTTAGTAAGACATGACTGCCTCATGGCACAGCTCTGTGTCCTCCTAGGCATGGAAAGTGGCCCACGTGGAGCAGTCCTCAGAAGAGGACTTACTGGCAAGGACGTCCTTCTCACAACAGAAGGCCAGGCCAGCTCTCTCCTTGGGGTGGAATTTTTTAGGGGTGAACCTAGGTTTAAGGCATGATGGCTGAGAACTTAGACTCCAGAGCTCGAGAGATCTGGGTTCAAATCCCAGTTTCACTGCTTAACCAGTTGTATGGCCCTTACAAGTTCCTTAACCTCTCTGTGCAACAGTTTCTCCCCACTGAAGTAGAACCAGTAACAGAATCTAAGGCCATGAAGTAACTGGGAAGATTCAGATCATGGGGGACTCCATCAGCCCGGCAGGCAGCCAGCAGAAACAGCCTTCTAGCCCTCCTCAAAAGATGCTACGTTCACCTCAAGCCTCAAACACCTTTTGGTCAAAGGCTCCCCACCTGGTTTCCATTGGCAGTGAGGTTCCTTTTATCTACCACCACCTTTAAAAGGCTCACAGTGCATTCTCTTCTCTGAAAACCATCTTTCACATGGTGTGGCCTCTGGCTCCGTGCCCACGACTGTGCTGGGCAGGCATCCCCTGTCTAGACTGTACCTACCTATTGAACTGAAGTTATTAAATCTATTCCATCTATTAAAACTGTTGTAGATCAAGGTTGCTGCCAGATGCAAATGAGGACAGGTGGAGAGAGCTATGATTAGACCTATTACCATTGGCTCCAAACCTCCCAGGCCTCTTAAACATTATGTGTCAATCCCAGGTCATCGGATCCCTTACTAGATTTATTCTTTGAACTATTCAGCCCTTCTTTTCTAAATCTGCATTTCTTTTTCTCTCAGGTAAATGCCAGATGTTTTTTAATCATAGGAAAATGAAACCTTTTCTAATCAGGACCCAGAATTCCTTTGTTTTCAGGCAAATCATTTTTCTCAAAGTTCTACCACTCCCACCCCCCACCCTGCTTACCTGAATCCCAAGCCTCTGCCTAAACTTGTCTTCTGTTTTTGGCACTATCACACTCAAGAAATCCAGGACATGTGATGTCTCGCCTGGCCCCCCCCCCAGGCACGCCCCATACTCAGCGTGTCTTCATCAGATCTTCTCACCGAATCAACCTTGGTTGACTTCGTCTCCTCCATTGTCTTTCTGAGGATGGGGCTGGAGGTCTGAGGTCATTCCCACAAGTCCCCTTGGGTTCTCGCCTCCAGGCCCTGCTCTCAGGCCCCGGTCCTGGCACCAAGCAATGGCGGCTCACCTCTCTGTATCTTATCTCCTTCTGACCTTTGTTTTCCAGACTCTTACCCTTTCCCACCATCTTTCACTCTCCACCTCAGTCCCCTCCATTCAGCTCTAAGGTTTATCTATTTCTTCCTCCCCTCCTAGCCTCTCAGTATCTTTCCCCTTCCCCATCCCACATCTCCCTTCATTAAATACCCTCCAGTGTGTTTTCTCATGGCTAACTCTGTGAGTCACATAACTTTTAGTCTAGAAGTTCTTTCAAAGCATCCCTTTCAAAAACCTCATCTCAGGCCACTTCAGTCAGTCTAAACTGGTCCCAGTTCCCTGAAGAGCAAAGAGCATGCTCTGTCACAGCTGTTCCCTGCACACATGGTTTGCATCTGCTGGCAGGACCACACAGCCAGACACTCACCCAGACACAGATCCGCCCAGAGGCCTAGTGGGTTCTGAACACCCTCAGTGCTCAGTGATCACCTGTCTATACAGTGAGCCTCTTCGGGGACAGCAGCTTGGTCTCCTCTCTCACTTATCTTTGTCTTCTTCATACCTGGTAGGGGGACTGGCACACACTAGATTCTCCGTGAGTGTTGTTGGAATGAGGGAATGAATGGATAAATGAAGTCATTTGTCATACAGTGTAAAGCTGATCATGAGAAAGAGAAGCTGGCTGCCCCTTCGCTGGCCCCAGCATGTCAGGGCTGTCCCTGTATGACTGTGGTGCATTCGTCTAACCTCGAGTGAAATATCTGAAGAACAAGAGTGCTCTGAAAAATTTTATGAGACATCTGCTCAGTTCGTCTTGTACTAGGGTTCCTTGATATCATGTTTTAATTTACAGTTCCTGAAGACTTTCTTAAGATTTCTTTCCAAATACTGACAAAAAAAAAGTGACATTTGTATTCAGCTCATTTGGAGAACAGTTTTATCACTAAATAACTTGATGCCAAGATAATGACAAATGCACATGTGGATAATTTTTAAGGCCATAAATATGTTTGTATTTCGGGGTGTGAATTTGGTTTTGATGTTTGTTTCTTCCCGGAGACTGTTCGGTTTGCTGGGTCACGTTCATGTCCGGTTATTTCAGCACTTTTGCAATGTTCTCTCTCTGACTGTCAGGTTGACTTTGATCAACTTCAGGATAATTTATGTCAGATGGAGAGACGATGCAAAGCCTCATGGGATCACCTCAAGGCAATTGCAAAACATGAGATGAAACCAGTTTTAAAACAACGAATGTCAGAGTTCCTGAAAGACTGTGCGGAGCGAATTATAATTTTAAAGATTGTCCATAGAAGAATCATTAACAGGTAAGTGGACTGAGGAACTTGCAGAAACATCAGTAAAATGGCATGTTGAAGGTATCTGCAAACTGAGATCTGTAGCTTAAATTTACAAAAATTGTACTGTGAATTCTTGGTACGTAGCAAGTGTACCCTTGATGAACCTGTTTATTTCATGGGTACTTAATTTTTCACACACACACAACAATAATGTTATAATGCCATTGAATCTTGAGGTTGGAAGGACTGTCAGAGATAATCTCATCCCCAAATCCTACTTGATCAGGAATTGCATCTGTAAGGTCTCTGACAAGTTGGCCGCTGCATCTCTGCATCTAAACAGTTCTGCCTACGTCCCTGCAAGACTGCTCAACTTGCTAGAACAGTACCTTCTTTATATGATCCACAGTCTGCCTTCTGAGACCTTTCACTCGTCGATTCTCTGATGGCTGCTCTGTGCTGCAGCCTGCCTGGAGGAGGCCTGGGCCCCACCGTGGGTGCCATCCCCTGGACCAGCCTTCCTCGGAGACCCAGGGTCCACAAGGACCCGGGCAGACACAGCAGTGAGGTGTCAGGCCTTGCTTGCCTACAGGAGGTTGGCTGGGGTCTGTCCAGGGCTGTTTCCTCTGTAAGTGGTGGCAGCGCCAGGCCGAGAATCTGGATCTTCCAACTCCCTGGGTCAGGCTGTTTCCTACCAGCAGCCCCTGCCCCCCACACTCGTCTCCTTTGTTTTGTCCCCTAACATAGTTGGGGGGCCCCTGCCCTGGCCTTTGGGCCTGAGTGCTCTGTCCTGGGCCTCGCGCCGTGGTGAGCAAATACGCAGGTCTGCAGACCTGCAGGCCGTGGTTGCCCGGAGCAGGTGCTTTGATGACAGGCCCGCTGAAGCGGGCCTCACCGCAGTGCTGTAAGGCAGCGCTCCCTGGGGGCCGGCTGAACCGCGGGCCTTTCCCCAGGAGCTGCTCTCCCGGCCCCTCCCCTCCTGTGCTTGAGGACTTTTATTATTATTTTTTAAACAAATGGGTGGTGGTAATTTCATTTATCCCTGTGCATTTCACATTTCTGATTTTTTTTCTCTTTTCCCTCCTTCCCTTCACTGTCTTTCCTTGTTTGCTTCCTTTAACCTTTCTTTTTAAAAAATTATTTATTTATTTAATTTGGGGGGAGGTAATTAGCTTTTTTTTTTAATGGAAGTACTGGAGATTGAACCCAGGACCTCATGCATGCTAAGCACGCGCTCTGCCATTGAGCTATACCCTCCCCCCTTCCTCGAAGCCATACAGAACTTTTTTTTAATGTGTTTCCCCTTTATTTTATGAATGTGTGAGTTATCACAAGTGATTTTTTTTACATGGACATACATATATTCATTTTCATATTCTTTTTCATCAAAAGTTACCACGAGATATTGAATATAGTTCCCTGTGCTCTACAGTAGAAACTTGGTTTTTATCTATTTTATATATAGTAGTTAGTATCTGTAAATCTCAAACTCCCAATTTATCCCTAGCCACCCCCTTTCCCCACTGGTAACCATAAGTTTGTTTTCTATGTCTCTGAGTCTGTTTCTGTTTTGTAAGTAAGTTCATTTGTCTGTCTTCTTTTTTTAGATTCCACGTATGAGTGGTATCATATGGTATTTTTCTTTTTCTTTCTGGCTTACTTCACGTAGAATGGCAATCTCCAGGTCCATCCATGTTGCTGCAAATGGCATTATTTTATTCTTTTATATGGCTGAGTAGTATTCCATTGTGTAAATATACCACAACTTCTTTATCTAGTCATCTGTCGACGGACGTTTAGATTGTTTCCATGTCTTGGCTGTTGTACATAGTGCTGCTGTGAACACTGGGGTGCATGTATCTCTTTAAATTAAGGTTCCCTCTGGATATATGCGCAGGAGTGGGATTGCTGAATCTGTGTAGGAAGGTTCCCTTTTCTCCACAGTCTCTCCAGCATTTATCATTTGTGGACTTTTGAATGATGGCCATTCTGACTGCTGCAAGACAATACCTTATTGCAGTTTTGATATGCATTTCTCTGATAATTAGTGATACTGAGCATTTTTTCATGCGCCTATTGGCCATTTGTATATCTTCATTGGAGAATTGCTTGTTTAATTAAGTCTTCTGCCCATTTTTGGATTGGGTTGGGTTTTTTTGTTGTTGTTAAGTTGTATGAGCTGTTTATATATTATGGAAATTAGGCCCTAGTCAGTCTCATCTTCTGCAAATATTTTCTCCCATTCTGTAGGTTGTCTTTTTATTTTGCTTATGGTTTCCTTTGCTGTGAAAAAGCTTGTAAGTTTAATTAGGTCCCATTTGTTTATTTTTGCTTTTATTTCTATCACTTGGGTAGACTGCCCTAAGAGAACATTGCTAAGATTTATGTCAGAGAATGTTTTGCCTATGGTTTCTTCTAATAGGTTTATAGTGTCTTGTCTTATGTTTAAGTCTTTAAGCCATTTTGAGTTTATTTTTTTGCATGGTGCGAGGGAGTATTCTAACTTCATTCATGCAGCTGTCCAGTTTTCCCAACACCACTTGCTGAAGAGACTGTCATTACTCTGTTGTATGTTCTTGCCTCCTTCGTCAAAGATAAATTGACCGAAAGTTTGTGGGTTTATTTCTAGGCTCTCTATTCTGTTCCCTTGATCCATACGTCTGTTTTGATGACTGTAGCTCTACAGTATTGTCTGAGGTCTGGGAGGGTTATTCCTCCAGCTTCATTCTTTTTTTCAGTATTGCTCTGGCAATTTGGGGTCTTCTGTGATTCCATATAAATTTTAGGATTATTTGTTCTAGTTCTGTGAAAAATGCCCTGGGTAATTTGGTAAGAAATATCAAACTTTTAAAAACCTGATTTCTCTGGTCTGCCTGGAAGCCCACTCCCAGCTTGTGTCTTATGCCACTTTGATAATCATACCTCGTGGGTCTTGATCCAGACTTTTTTTGTGGGAGAGAGGTGGGGAGTAGTCTTTAAATGTTGGACCAGACGAGAATAAGGAACAGAATCTGCCCTCCAGGGTGACAGCTACCCATTACTCTGCACTTGTGGCACTTAGTTGTTCAGCTGTAACCCCCCTCCCTGTGCTCCATCTAGACCTCACAGCTGCCCTCTGGGTAGAAGGATCTTATCAGAGATTTTGTCAGATTTCTTACTAAAAACAAAGTACACTCTGCTTTTAACATGGTTAAAAGGGGGCGGCCGGGCTTGTAAGCGGCTTTGGGCCTCCATGCTTTGTATGATACGAGCAATTGCCGACTTAAAACTACTCAAGTAAACAAATAGTTTCCATTTGGAATGTCATGAAACTGGAGTCGTTTTATGAAAAGTCCTGTAAAGCCGTTAGGCCTGGTCACAGTAACCGTCTTATCCCGGACAGATTAAAATTCATTTTGGTGGTGATATATCTGTCCCTTAAGCTATTGTGTTGTGTGTGTGTGTGTGTGTATCATATATATAAAATATATGCATATAAAATCTATTTACGGCATTTGTATATGTGTATGTAATACATCTAATATTCGTTCTGACTGCTCTATTCTCCCTGGTAAGCTGGTTGCCCAGATGACGGTTGCTCCTGTGTGACCTGGATTCCTTTCCACTCACTATTGGACGCCCATCTGGCCACCCACCCGTACATGCAGCAGGCTGTGAAAACCGCCAAATAAAATCCCTCAAAACACATGTTATGAAAGTTACAAACTCGATTAACAAAAATCCCTTAAATGTTTCTCTCCCTTAAAGTCACACCCACTTTGTTCTTCTGAAGGCGATGTCGGAATCTCTTTGCTCCCAAATGTACATCTGGGTCTTCTTCCAAGTGTGCGTTTTACTTGCTGCTTGTGTCTCCTCTGTTTGCAAAATATGTACTTGAATCGCATCTCTAACTTACGTGTTCAGATTGGACCCCCTCCAGATAAAAAGCAATTCTCTAGAAAGTAGAGGACAAGGAATCTTGGGTCGTACTTATGTATAAAAGAGGACCCAGCTGTGCCCTTAATTCATCTTACACACAGATCTTGAGTAGTGCTAAGTGGTGATAGATGCCATATATTATACACTCTTCTGTTATGTGTCATAGCATATACTCCGTCATGTCATATCTCTAGTATATAATATCAGGTAGTAATAAGAACCGAGAAGAAAAATTAAGAATATAAATGGGACAGGGAGTGGCAAGGAGGTGCTGTTTTACGTAGGGTAGTTACGGGAGGGCTTCTTGGAGGAGGTGATATTCGGACACACTTGTGGGATGAGAGAGAGCAATCCAGGCAGCTGTCTGGCCAAAATGCTCTGCGTGTAGGAAGAGCTGGCACTGGACGCCTTGTCAGGGCCTGTGTCCTCACGCCCCTCCTCACAGGCCCTGCAGGCTCTCAGCTCTGCCGTGTCCCCCTGGAGTCCCCTACACACCACACCGGGAGCCTGAGGCCCTGAGATGGGCTTGTTCAAGGAATCACGGGGGGTCAAATGTGGCAAAGGTCAGGGGGTAGGGAGGCCGGTTTTGTGTGGATACACCACATCCTGTTTATCTAGTCATCTCTTGATGGGCATTTGGATTGCTTCCACTTTTTGGCGATTATGAATAATGTTGCCATGGAATTTTGGGTAGGTTTTCTGTGGACACACAGTTTCATTTCTTCCGAGTATCTGCACATGGGTGGAATTGCTGGGTCATATAGTAGCTCTGTGTTTAACTCTTGATCAACTGTGTCTTCACAGCAGCTGAACAGGTTTGTGCTCCCACCAGGGCTGTGTGAGCGTTCCAGTGTGGTTTCTCCCCAACACTAGTCATGGTCTGTCTTCCATTCTAGCCATCGTAGTGAGTGTCAGGTGGTGTCCCCGCATGGTTTTCATTTGCCTTTTCCTAATGACTTGCCATGTAGAGCATCTTTTCATGGACTTATTGGCTATTTGCCAATAACTTTTTCTAGAAATGTCTATTTAGATCTTTTGTCCATTTTTATTTGTCTTTTTAGTGTTGAACCATAACATATTTTTATATATTCTGGATACCAGTCCCTTGTCAGACATGATTTGCAAATATTTTCTCCAGTTCTGAGGGTTGTCTTTTTAATCTTGAGAGTATCCTTTGAAACACAGAAGTTTTTAATTTTGATCAAGTCCCATTTATCTATTTTTTTTTCCTTTGGGTGCTTATACTTTTGGTATCATATCTAAGAAATCATTTCCTAATCCAGTTGTGAAAATTTATACTTTGTTTTCTTCTGAGTTTTGTAATTTTAGCTAGCATTTTTGGTTTCCAATAGCATTTTTCCAGCTCCCTTTATTTTAAATGCATGTCATATGCTTTCTTGTAGTGTTTCTTCACAAAAGGGATAAACCAGTGTTCCTCGTTTGAAAAACAAACCAAACTGCTATTAAAACTGCACAAATTAGAGCAATCAAAAAAGGGTTTTGTCTACAGTTAGTGGTATCATTTATGTAATACCATTGGTTCTACAAAAAATTTTTCCTGTCTCCTAGTATCTTCTTTCTCATTTCCTGATAACTAAAAATTAGGCACTTCTTTGTCCATTTGATTTCTTTTCCAAAAGTTTTAAGTAATTAGAATCCAGTAATTTTTAATTTGTGAACTAAATAGCTGAAATAATTTGATTTGGGGCTGCTTATTTGGTGTGTCCCAATTAAATTAAGATTGTATATAATATTGCAAGAGAATATTTCAAAATATTTACTGAGAGAAAACTTCATAAGCATCTTTTTATAAACCATTAAACATGTTATTCATAATATGTTCACATCAATTCCATGTAGTCACGAAAGCGGTTCCAAAAAAATTCCTAAGCAATATTTCTTCATCCCTTATTCAATTTTCATATGATCTAGAAACTGCAATGTTTTTCTTAAAATAGTACTTTATCATTCTTCTTATAAAAAGTTTTATGTAACCATTTGGAAACACATTAAAACACAAATGAGCAAAAAGGAAAAGTAATTAATGTGCTCAAATACCACCCCCTAGACGTAACCTCCATCAGCGAGAAACTGAGCTGAACTTGCATTTTCACTCTTCAGCATCAAAACCCCAAGAACAAAGAACCGTGTCCTTGGCTGGCTGGTTTCTTACTGAAAGTTTGCAGACAGCTGATTTTTGTTCCCCACACCTGAGGTCCTTGCCACCATGGTCTTTTCACTGCAGGTTCCATTCCTTTTTGCTCTTCATGGGTCACCCACCTTACGCGATTCGGGAAGTGAACATAAACAAGTTCTGCAGGATCATCAGCGAGTTCGCACTGGAGTATCGCACCACCAGGGAACGGGTTTTGCAGCAGAAACAGAAACGGGCCAACCACAGGGAGAGAAATAAGACCAGAGGGAAGATGATCACCGATGTAAGTTTCATGAAATCAGTTTCCTTATGCCATTTATTCTGAAATTCCGATTAATCATAAAACCTCCCCATTGTTTGAAGGCTGTTCTTTTTTATTTTTTTGACTGTGAAATAAATTTCCTCTTTTAAAAGGCGCTCTTAAACTGCCCCTCTACCATTTCAGTGAAAATCTGAGATATAACAGACATGGAACTAAGATGTACATTAAGGACGTGTGGCTGGTGGGGGAACTTTAACCCACCACACAGTTCATTTACTTGGTGTGTTATATGGTGCTGATGACATTCAACGCTTGATTCTGCTTTCAACCTTTGTGATGTGGGTAGACTTAGAAGAGGAGAAGAAATAATATAAAATATGATAATGACACAGCATAGGAAGATACATGTACTGATTTGGGAATAGATTCAGGATTTTAATTATCGTAACAATACTGTAACCAATCAGTTGACACCTGGACCACCATTCTAGGCATCTGAATGGAGGAATAATTGATGTGGTTGCTCAAAGACATAATTTGGTGGGCTCTTGGCAGTCCCTTGAGTTAGAGATTATCAGGGTTGGAGGAGAGCCTAGAGGACAGCGAATTAGCAGGAGTTCCTTGTAGCCCCTTGGGGGGCCCTGCACACTTGAATGCCTCCCCTGCTCCTTGGCTCTTCCCCCATCTCTTCCACCTCACCCCTGAGCCCACCCGCTCCAGGATGCAGTGGGCACTCAGACGGGAGATACTCGTTAAGTGGAGGGCAAAGCAATGCGTGAAGATGCCAGGGACAGACAAAGACATGCAGTGTAGGTGCCTCTTTCTGATGTGCCTTTATGAAACAGCCCATCTTTATATATCTGAGAGGCAGTGAGATCCAGGGAATGGAATAGGTAAAGGATTAAGCTATAGGGAATGGCATCGTCCAGGAGGTTGCAAGCCTCTGCTGAACTCAAGTCAGGCAGATTTCTCTGGGGAGGAGTAAAATCCATTAAGAAGGCCTCACTGAGGCTGCCTCCTGTGTCACATGGGCGCTCAGGGGTAGGAAAACAGGGTACGTGGTTACTCTGCATATTCCCCAGGGGTTGACCCTCTCGGATGCGTTATCTTAGAAATCCTGTTGCAGTCTTTAAGGCATTTCTGAGGAGAACCAGGGACTACTCAGCTCCGCATTCATCCCACCCTTGACTCCTTGTTTCCTTGGAATTTTCTGGACGCTTAGGGAGTGCTCGGATCACTTTTCTGCAGAAAGGACCCTTTCTGCAGACAGTTCTGAATGCCAGTGCCAGCAGCCGAGTCTTCCATCTCCTCTCCTGAAGTCTGGGTTCAATTGGATCTTTAAAAGCTTCCCGGAGGACAGCAACTCAGAATGCAAACTGAATCTGCTTGGGCAAACTACGGCCCACATTTCATTCCAAAGCATTATTTTTAAAAGTTTTAAAAGTGGAGTGCTTATTTTTGTGGGAATGAGACACACTGGAGAGTGAAAAACACAAGCCCAATATGCTTATAGTTATGAAAATACATCAAAATTTCCTGTCAAATTCTTGAGATTTTTTTTTACAGTTCCCACTAATTTTTAAATTCTGTCCTTCTCTGAAAATATTCAGCCTCCCTACTTATAAACAGGGGTGAATGTTTCTAGAATTTGACTCAAAAATATTTAAATTCCTATTAAAATCTGGACAGTGCAGGCTTCTTTGAGTTTAATCCTCATGGTGGTCCCTGTTTTTAGTGGTGCAGGTGGTGCCATTTGTGTAGAAAGCCTGCCATCTGCTGGAAGGTTAGGATATTGACACTTAAAGCGAAGTGTGCAGCTTCAGGTTTTTCCAGCTCTCAATTCAGCACCCGTTGTGTGCCCAGCAAGGTACAGGACACCTAGGAAAATGTGAATGCAGTAAAAGACAAGCTTGTACCCCAAGGATATCGTGATCTGGCTATAAAACAACACGCATACACAACTTAGACCGCCGAAAACAAAATAGATGGAGAATCACGGAGCCCTGAGTACCAGAGCTGGAAGCACTTTTTAGAGAAAGCTGTAGTCAAGTCATTTTTTATACAGATGCTGAATAATGAGGATGGAAGTGGTTACAATTAAACAGAGATGACTTTAGGAAAGCCAGAGTTTTATAAGACACAGAGAAGTGGGGGTAAACTCTGAATACCCTACATTGTAGTCAGCCGTCATCTGGTTTTGTGTGCCTGTTTCTCCTCTTCATTCTGTTTCTGAATATGCAAGAGGCTTCCTCTGTTACCACCCAGGGGTCCTGCCAGGTAAGGGTCAGTGAGAAACTAATTCATTCCTCATCATCGTGTCCCAAACTAGTTCGAGACAAATTGGGGACCCAGACAAGGCAGCACACGGCCCTTTCTGCTGTCATTGCACTCCAGATGGGCTGTGAGAACTCGGGCTGTTGAAACCCAGGACTCCCCCATCACAGGGCGGTGGTCGTCCTCCGTGAGACATGTGATCGCTCTCAACCCAGCTTCCACTCCTGGGGGAAGGAAATGCTAGTGACTCAGGGGATACTGAGAGCTAGAGATTTTATATATGCAACACCTTTCACATCTGCTAATTGCTTAAAAAAAAAAGTCAACCATCTGGTTAAATAAACGCTTAGATTAAAAAAAATAGTGGAACAGGACTGTCATCTCTTGTCACAGGCCATTTGCCTAGAAGCGGTGCGGAGCATGAGAAACTGGAAGCATTTTGTCATTTC